CCACCAAAAAACGTATGCTATTTGTCTTCTAATAACCCAAAGAAAAACCGTTCCATACAATAGAACCTACTTACATTACATAAAGAGCCAGTGGTTTCCCACTGGCTCTTTATGTTTTATAAAACTGTATGTTTTAATTTTCCACTTGTATTTCTACTCGTCGATTTTCGGTACGACCTTCTGGAGTATCGTTGGAGGCCACTGGAATTTGGCTACCATATCCATTGGGCGATAAACGGCTAGATGCAACGCCTTTAGACATTAAATAATCCACCACCGATTGAGCTCTAGATTGAGAAAGTATCTCATTTTTGGCGGCTGTACCCACAGAATCGGTATGACCCGATACTTTAAATTTAAGGTTTTCGTTGCGATTCATAACATCCGCCACCTTATCCAAAGTATCTTTAACGGTAGGATTAAGCACGGATAATCCAGTTGCAAATTGAATTTTCTCGGCGCCCAAATTAATGGCCTTAGCTTCTTGAGCTTTAACCCCTTCTGGACAGCCTAAATTATTCACCACTCCACTGGCCTCCAAACAAGTATCCACTTTATCCAACAGACCATCGGAGTCGGTATCTCTATTAAGATCAGATTGAGCCACCGATTTAAATTTATCGGCTGGTCTTTCGGGCGATTTGGTTCTTACATAGGTTTTTACTGCGGCCGCCTGACGTTCTCTTAAAGCCAATTGGGCTGGTGATGTTTCACCCGCTGATGCGTTATTCACCACTACAAAAACCTCGTCTGGTGAAGTATTCTTAACTCTATCTTCTAAAATGGCATCCATTTTAATCTTGCTCTCTGGACTAAGGGTCCCATTGGGCTCAAAAGTCAATCCTTCTTTTTGAATATCGATATACGTAATACTGGCTTCTATAGGATCGGTGCTTTCTGGTGCACCACCGTTCTCTACAGGCCCTGCCAATAAAGGATTGGAATCCACTTTATCGCTTATTCCATCTTTATCGGTATCGATATCATTGGATAACTCCGATAAAATTACAGGCTCTTCTTTTTTAACTTCTTCTTTTACAACTTCTTCTTTGAACACAACCGTTTCTGATACCACCTCCAAAGGCTTTTCTATTTTGGCTTCAGGTTGAAAAATAGCGAATTCTACTTTAGCAGCCCCTCCCAGATTAAACGACCAATGATTGTTTATAATGCAAAAAAAAGCACCTCATTACATGCTTTGCAATAGGGGTGCTTTATGATAGAAATACTTAGAGCCTATTCTGATTTAAAATATTTATAAACCACACCGGCCAATGCGGCTCCAGCAATAGGGATTAAAACAAACAACCACAATTGAGATAACGCCCATCCCCCTACAAATATGGCTTGACTGATGCTTCTGGCTGGGTTAACCGACGTATTGGTTACAGGAATGCTGATTAAATGGATCAGGGTTAAGGCCAATCCAATTGCAATGCCAGCAAAACCTTTGGGCGCTTTTTCATCGGTTGCTCCCAAAATGATCAATAAGAACATAAATGTCATGGTGAATTCGGTTACCATGGCAGCTACCATGCTGTATTTTCCAGGAGAATGGTCGCCATATCCGTTGGCTGAAAAATCGCCAATTAAACTGCCATTTCCAGTAACAATAACATACAAAACCCCCGCAGCCAATATGGCTCCAGTCACTTGTGAAGCGATATAGGGTAAAATTTCTTTTGAACCAATTCGACCACCCATCCACAGTCCAATGGTTACTGCTGGATTCAAATGGGCGCCCGATAGATGTCCAAATGAATAGGCAATGGTTAATACGGTTAATCCAAAGGCAAAAGAAACGCCAAGAAGCCCAATGCCCACATCTGGATATCCAGCAGCCAGCATGGCACTACCACATCCGCCTAAAACCAACCAAAAAGTTCCAATAAATTCCGATAATTTTTTTTTCATGTTTGTATATTATAAATGCCCTACTCTTTTGGCTTTTCGGATTCGCCTCGTTTTTTAATGGTTTCTGGACTCCATAAAATTGTTAAAATACTTTAACATAAACCGTGCCATTTTTTAAATGCAAAAACAACGGGCTGTAAAATCCTATTGTAATCAATTTAAAAATAATGATTTATGAAAAACAGAAAAGGGGTAGATAATAAGAATGGGTTTAACACATTTTAATCTGAATCGTCGGCCTTGTCTTTTGAGCTGGCCAATTCCAGAATGCCTTCAGGCAAAGTCATTAAAAGAAATTTTTGAGATCGATCGATGGTCATTTCCCAAGCATCCACCATGGGAATAAGAGAAATGCCTTGGGTTGTTCGAATCTCCATTAATGTTTGATGGGGATAATC